AGCAGTCCGGGTAATTCCGGACCAGCCAGGCCAAGAAAAACGAAGTTTCGGGGACTCCACGTGGAGAAAAGGTTGGCCGGAGAGAATCGGAGCAAGGGGGTCTCAAACTGGAAGCAGCGGCAGCAAAAAGGAGCCTCCTTGGACCTTGGGGGTGCCACGAAAAGTAGTCCGAGGTGCAACGGCCACATGCCAGCTACAAAATCAGGCCTTGGGAAAGGTCCAACAGCTAGAAATAGGAGAAATACCTGTTGGATACTTGTCCTAACAGTAATAAAGGAGAAAGGAGGGAAAAAGGGGAGAAAAAAGGGGAGAATGAGACAAAGGAGGAGGAATAGGTGGAGGAAAATGTGCCACCAGGTTGGGACTGCAGTGGTAGGGACTCGCAAGTCTCAATGATGACCTCATCCCTCCTAGATCCTAGGAGGGCAGTCCGGATTGCAGAGATAATGTCCTTAGGGCATTATCTCTGCAATATCTGAATTTAAGCAGCAAAAATAAATAAAAATGCTGATGTGAGTTGGCCGGCTCTTTTTTGGGCCATAGATCTGAAATCAGGTCTTGTGGAGGAGGAGATCTAGCCGTTTTTTGTGGGCTGACACAAAACAACTAGCTCCGGAATGAGTTAGCAGCAAAATGGAGGGAGAACCAAGAGAGGAACAAGACAAAACTGCGTATTTGGCCCAAGGATTGGGGCAGATACACCAAAAAAATCAAAAATTGAAGTAAAAGGCTCAACTTTGGGGCAAGGGGAGCTTGGGGTAGCTCGGAATGATGAGAACCATGGATCTCAGCCAAATCCAAGGCTGAGATTGGGGCCGCCATTTGGAAAAATGCAACGGCCTACCCAAAAGAGGCCTAGACCAGAAAAAAAACGAAAAATGGGCCTCTAGGCCCTCAAATTTCAGTAAGGGCTGCATTTTGGGAAGGGGTACCCCAAAAGGCAGCTCCTTTTGAAGTAAAGAGAGGCCGGGGTAGGCCAAGGGGTAGTCCAAGATGGTACCAGCCACTCGGACTGCATGCACTTGACCAAAATGAGGCCCGGGTACCTCCAGATAGGCCAGAACCGAAAATTTGGCCTTGGGGGCACCTCGGTCCACCTAGAGGCACTTAGAGGGGCCTAAGGGTTGAGCGGTGCACCAGTTTCAGCCTACATAAGCTGGAGGTGCAGGCCGCCACTCCCACTTGAGCATGAAAGGAGCCCGTGCTGCCCAAATGAGTCCGTGAGTGAGCACTAGTGAGATAAAGCACAGAAGTGAGAGTCGAAGCTAGCCTGGAGCCTGGCTATGGTGATAAGACTAAGAGAGAAGGCCTAGAGGCTAGGAGGAAGCAAGGAGAGTGGTCCGTCATAGCCCTCAGGCTGTGAGGTAGGAGGAGAGGCTGAAAGGGGTCCCCTTAGCCTTTCTAGAGGGAAGGACTCCATAGCCTTAGAGGTAGGAGCCTGCCATAATTTGGGAAGAGGAGTGAGAGAAGGAGAAGAAAATTTTGGAGGTGGGGAAGCCATACTCAAGGAGCTAAAACCAAGTTCGGGACTACACTGCCTAGGGACCAACAAGAGGTGAGTAGGGAAGGGAAGAAGTTTCCCCTCCTTCCTCCTTTCTTCTTCTTCTTCTTCTTCTTCTTCTTCTTCCTCTCCTCCCTCTCCTCCCTCTCCTCCTTTCTCTCCCCCCTCTTCTTCTTCCTCCTCTTCTTCCCCTTCTCCCTCCTCCTCCTCCTCCTCCCCTTCTTCTTCTCCCCCTCCCTCATCTTCTTCCTCCCTCCAAAACTGTGATTTTTACTGATATTGATGCCTATGTGTGTTGCGCTTCATCCTAGGATACTTCGGAGATCATTCCCCTAGTGTAGATGTCATCAAACTTATCATTTTGCTGATTAGGATGCCTATGTGTGTTGCGCTTCATCCTACGATAGTTCGGTGATGGTTCCCCTAGTGTAGATGTCATCAAACTTGTCATTTTGCTGATGTGGATGCCTATGTGTGTTGCGCTTCATCTTGTGATACTTCGGTGATTTTTCCCCTAGTGTCGATGATCTCAATCTTGTCAAATTGTTGATTTGGGTGCTGGGGTGTGAAGCGCTTCATCTTGTGATAGTTCGGTGATGATTCCCCTAGTGTAGATGACATCAAACTTGGCATTTTGCTGATGTGGATGCCTATGTGTGTTGCGCTTCATCCTAGGATACTTCGGAGATCATTCCCCTAGTGTAGATGTCATCAAGCTTGTCATTTTGCTGATTTGGAGGCCTATGTGTGTTGCGCTTCATCCTAGGATACTTCGGAGATCATTCCCATAGTGTAAATGTCATCAAACTTGTCATTTCGCTGATTTGGGTGTTGGGGTGTGAAGCGCTTTTTCTTGTGATAGTTCGGTGATGTTTCCCCTAGTGTAGATGATCTCCAACTTGTCATTTTGCTGATTTGGGTGCTTGGGGGTGTTGCGCTGCATCTTCTGGTACCTCGGTGATGTTTCCTCTAGTGTAGGAGTCATCAATCTTGTTTTTTTGTGGATTTGGGTGCTTGTACATGTTGCAATTCATCTTGTGATAGTTCGGTGAACGTTCCCCTTGTGTTGATGCTTCAAATTTTGAGTTTTCACTGATTTGGGTGCTTCTGTAAGTTGCGATTCATCTTGTGATAGTTCGGTGGAGTTTCCCCTTGTGTTGATGCTTCAAATCTTGAGTTTTCACTGATTTGGGTGCTTGGGTAAGTTGCGATTCATCTTATGATAGTCCGGTGAACTTTACCCTTGTGTTGATGCTTCAAATCTTGGGTTTTCACTGATTTAAGTGCTTGGGTAAGTTGTGATTCATCTTGTGATAGTTCGGTGAACTTTCCCCTTGTGTTGATGCTTCAAATTTTATGTTTTCATTGATTTAAGTGCTTGGGTAAGTTGCGATTCATCTTGTAATAGTCCGGTGAAGTTTCCCCTGTGTTGATGCTGCAAAGCTTGTGTTTTCACTGATTTGGGTGCTTGGGTAAGTTGCTATTCATCTTGTGATAGTTCGGTAAACCTTCCCCTTGTGTTGATGCTGCAAAGCTTGTGTTTTCACTGATTTGGGTGCTTCGGTAAGTTGCGATTCATATTGTGATAGTTTGGTGAACTTTCCCCTTGTGTTGATGCTCCAAATCTTGTGTTTTCACTGATTTGGGTGCTTGGGTAAGTTGTGATTCATCTTGTGATAGTTCGGTGAACTTTCCCCTTGTGTTGATGCTTCAAAGCTTGAGTTTTCACTGATTTGGGTACTTGGGTAAGTTGTGATTCATCTTGTGATAGTTCGGTGAACTTTCCCCTTGTGTTGATGCTTCAAATCTTGTGTTTTCACTGATCTGGGTGCTTGGGTGAGTTGCGATT